TAAAAAACTATATTTTTAAATCGATCAACTCGAACAAGCGACCAAGGCCGATCAATGTTGAAATTAACCCATCAATGACTTGCATTTTCAATGATTCCACCGTCCATCAACTTCCATTTCCTGATTAAACTCAGTTAATTCTAATATTGTTATTTAAACACACTGCCGGAAAACATTTCTGTTTCACGAAGCACATCAAGCTAAAAATATCATCGGAGCACTCAGCCTTACCATGACTAATGATCACTATCCACCAACTCTATGAAAGTATATTTTCAGTTATACTTTTGTATATTTTTCTTGACTTTTCTCCTCGTTCTTAATTTGATTAGTCACAAATAAGAACAGGTGAGAAACACTGACATCTACTTGCTATTATTGGTATTTCAATATATACAGAATAAGCATTTGGGAATGTTTATTTGTCTTGATATATCACAAATAACTATTATCGCAGTAAATCATGATTAATCACAATTAATCCAAACCTATCATGTCATTAATCACAAGCAACATTTCTCAGTAATATAATTATTATTGTTTGTCAATAGTAGTAGTTTTCGAAGTAGTATTACTGTAATTTTTATTAGACCTTTTTTTATTTTAACTAATGTTGCGTCATGCTAATACATCCTGTTTAGAAGGTTTTTGCTAAAATCGAAGGTAAATTGTCTTCATAGAAGAACATTGAGAAAAAATATCTGTAAATAATATTTCATCGTATACTATAATATATATTCACACACATATTTAGATGTATATATTTATATATACATATATATTTATATAAATATATATGTACACATATAAATATATATTTATATTCACATATATTTACATATGTATTTACATTTATATAGACGTGCAAATCTACAGTATTTACATATATAGACATAATATATTTAGATATATATTTAATCAAATAAATGTTGGCACACAAATTGTATGTTGTATAATTAGCCACATATATTACACCATGTGTTTTCCACCGACCTTGACTGGGTAAAATCAGCCTGGCTCTTTAAACAGGTCTGTGTACAGTGAGTATTATTTTTGGCTTTGGGCTTGTTATGTTTCCCACTTACCATCTAATAACGAATTTGGCTGCACCAGTCAAGGACACAGATCGATGCAGATGAGAGAGAGAACACTGTTCTCTCCTCGCCGCCCCAAAAAACGAGCTGCTCCACGGACGTCTGTTCACTGTTTAATGTCGCAACAGCAGAGTGGGAGAAGGGGTTGAAGTGATATTGATTCTTTATGTGTAATGAGTTGGTGTTTTCTTTCTGTTGTCTGTGACTGTTATGGTTCATGTGTAAAAAGTAACATTTCGTTTTTTAAGTCTGTTTTTTAAAGTAAATTAGCAAGAAAGGTTAAATATAAGGAAGTGAAATATACTATTCAACTGCAGGGGGTGCTGTAGTAAAGACTGCTGAAAAGTGTTAAAATAGGTAATTCTGATTTCTCATTTCAAGTTATTTCATTTAGTTTAAAAAAACTAAAGACAATGATTTCACTGACAAACTTAACTTGTTCATCTGATACAATACATTTTTAAATTAGTCAAATGAATTAATTTACATGAGATACAGAAATCCCTCTCCTATCCCGGTAGTTGTGTTCCAGGACCCCATCGCGAAATGGGAAAAAGTAGAGGCGAGATAGTTATTTTATCATTTACGTATATATCTACCTTTTAAGAATCACCCTCACACTGTTATGTTTGTAGGATTAAAAAGTGAAAGTAGTGTAAATTATGATCTGATAAACCCTCAGTGGCAACACACTGCATTAGTCACTGCGCACACAAACAAATGCGGAGAGATATTTAAATCTCTCGTCGATGCCAAAGACATCCCACACTGACTATTTCTCAAATGTGAGAAAGAAAACTTGTCACCTCTCAGAGCCAGGATTCTTTCTTGGAGAGACGAGAGAGATTGACAGGAGGAACTTGAAACAAATAATTAAAAAAAAGTTGAGTCTTTTCAGCTCCTGTTTGGTTTATTTCTGACTTCAAACATGAAGAATCTCTTTCCTGTTTTTCTTTCAACTGCCGACTTGTCTTGTTGTCTCTTAACTGCACCGTCTTATTTGACCTACATCAGAACATTAGGCTAAGCTTCTGTGTAGATAGTGGGGAACGTCTGCTAGCCTGTTAGCTCTCGTTTACGCCACACTATTTTCCCACTAAAATTTGTTTACGAACACAACATTATAGGAACATATTGTAACTTAAGTTGTGGCAAATCCAGCAGTGATGTGTAAAACTGGTAGAAATGGTTCACCTGGTAGTGAGCGAGCTAGCTATCAACGTCGCTAACAGGCTCTCTATGACAAAAGCTAGCTAGCTACTGTAGCTATTCTAGCTGGCTGGAGGGATAGATAGATGGATGGATTGATGGATGGATGGATGGATGGATAGATAGATAGAGCAGCATCTGAGACAGCAGTAGCAGCAGCAGCAATAGTAGCAGCAGCACTAGCAGCTATTTGCTCATCTGCTAGACTCAATTTTGGCCTCTGTGCACACACGGCAGTCTCGGTACCTATTCTCCTCCGTTTAGCTGCTCCTTTTGTCATACTCAATTGAGTGACCACATAAAACAAATTGAAATCCATTTGCTTGAGGAGGATTTGAGAGAATTGCTACAACAAAGACAAGAGGAGCCGCGGATGGAGAGGTGCGGTTGTTATCTCAAAACTATTTTTAGGGCACATCTCATTTGGCGAAACCGAGGCATTGCTTTATCGGGTTTTCATTATCTGAGGAAGAACCGATAACGATTCTTACAGATATTACTATAATTTTGCTAATATCGAACATCCCTCTTTATGGATCGGGATTCATCCTCACATGGACACTCTGACAGAGTCTCCTGGAAGAGTTAAAGCATTGGAAGTCTTTCACAATTCATTAAAAGTTCTGCCGGCAGGTTCTGGAACGTGTCGCTGTAGAGTTGGTCGAAGCCCAGAAGCGAGTTGAAGAGACGCACTCGTCACTGCCACGAGCCTCGACAATGAAAAGGGAACGAGGAGAGAGAGCGTCTGAGCAAAACCGGGAACAATTTCTTTGGATATTGTGGATTTAATGTTGTCGTTTTAAAAGCATCAGCAGTTCAGTTGGCGTTACGGCGTGTTTTTCTAGCATCCTCTCCGACACCCCGTGGACCAGTGAGAGCCACGGTGTATAGCGCCGTCAGCTTTAATCATCTCATACTGAACACACTCGATACAGAAAACGCAGGACTATCGGGAGAAGAACTCTGTAAACTGTACCTGTCCCTGGAGCTCGTCTCGCTCCGTCACATCCTGTCCTCTGAAACATTACACTGTCCTCAGTCAGGAGAGACGTCCAACTTTACCGTGTCCACCAGTGGTCAGTTTATTACTCAATAATTAAAAATAGACGTCAGTGTTTTTCAATTTAATTGGACCCAGACTGAAATAACCAGCTGCTTGGTTTGTTAGCTAAATATAAATATATATAAACATATATATTGATTGATCTATATAACCACAAGTGAGTCATCAACATAATCGGTTATGTATTTTTTAAATTAATATAATATAAATTTGAGTTATACTTTTATTTGTTTTATTTTTTTATTTTTACATTTTTCCACATTAATAATTTAAAAAGACTTTTTTTGTTCCAAAAATATTACAAAAACATTTTTTTAATTATATTAAAAATTATGTTTAGGAATGTTAATTTATCTAATTATATAAGTAAATTAATTCATCAAGATTAATTGCGATTAATCGTGATTTATCTCAGAAAAACATGATTAATGGCAAATAATCTACATTAAAAAATAAATCAATTTTGACTGAAAATCAAATATATTGATGTGATGTTAATATAACGTTGCATCAATATATTTTATTTCGTCAGTTTTTTTGTCTGCTCTCGACTTTTTTGATTTTGAAGTCTGTTCTGAGACTGTTAAAAGTTTTGATGTGTCGCATCTACATGTCAACTCTCATATTTGACTGACTGGTGGAATGAGAATTAATAACGCACTGATCACACCTAGAGTCTGGACTCTCAACAATTCTCATCTCCATGTTGTAGTTTTTAAAATGTATTTTTCAGTAAAGTTTGAATCCCTGGGAGGTCTGAGTCACAGTCACTGCTGTCTCTGCTCTCAGCCAATCACACACTTTTCTATCTGTGCAATATTATTTACCATTAAGAAGAGGTCCCCAACCTAAGGGTCCATACCAGGCCGTGGGTGATTTGGTGCGGAGCTGCAAAGAAAACATAATTAAAACATTGCTTGATAATTCGATTGATTATCAGTCCTTCAAATATAAATCATTTATATTTTACCGTATTATTCAGTGAAAGGTTGGAGCCAATCAAACACAAAACATTTTTTCAAAAATGTATTATATATATCAAAATGTATAGCACAGTACTCAATGATCTCATACACATATTACGGTTTAGTAACTTTGGTCACTGGTGAAACTACAGGTAATTAATATGAACCTCATTTTTGGGAAAGTGATGTTGCAAAACAGAGAGTGAACTGACCTAATCACATAACAGTGCCCCCTACAGATGCCATGTAGAAAAACCTCTTTGTCGTTTCAACAAATAAAGACGATTTTTTCCATTTTGTCTTAGAAAGTTTTGACTTCCTCTACGCCATTTGCTGACAATCAGCTTGGTCACGCAGACAAAACGTAAAGTGCGAATTATCACAGTTAGCGTAACCATTTACTGTAGGATCCACGTTGTTCCGCGGGTTCTACGTTCTGCAGACGAATAATATGCAACAAAGATCAGTTGTTTTTACTCAAATCCATAAAATACAACTGAATGAAAAACATATCGTCATCTCATCTCGTTACCTACAGAATTACACGACATGAAATCAGTAACGGAGGAATAAGGATTTGTCTACAGAAACCAGACATGTACCTTAAAAAAAAATAACAGAACATCTACTTTCAAAGTCGCTACATAAAAACGTGATTCGTTTGGATTTTGGTTTAAAACAATTGCCGACTCTAATGTTTTCTTTTCTCAGGACTAGGAATGAAACCAGTGTGTGTTACGACACAACACTGGGCTAACAGTTTCAGGTTAACTTTAATGTCATTTATTCTAACAGTCCAAAATATACTTATATATATATACGTAACATATATACATAGAAACGGAACGTACACACAGTGATGACACAGTAATCCCAGATGAGGGCGTACAAACACGAGCTGTAGACCGCAACGGGAGGAACCTCACGCCGACATGGCCCACGTGGGCCAGTCTGTATGAAGAACGTAGACCACACTGAACAGACTATGTAAATGGACTAAGAAGAAGTTAATACAGATACTAGCGTATAATTAAGAACGTCATGTAGTTCAGGAATCTTCAACCTGTAGTTCCCGGGCCATACATGCCTCCCAAGCCTCCTTGTCTCTCTTGCATGATGGTGTACTGCAGGAGGATAAATTAAACAAACGTCAGGACTGAGACAAGGCGACGGGCCAGCTCTGATATCTGATGTGAGCTGTTCCTTCTCTTACCGGATGTCTTTGGTCTCCAGCAGCAGGGGATGTGTCGGGCCGACAGAGCCTTCCTGATGGCTCCTTTAATCTTGGCCACCAGCACTGGACTGAAAGGCTTAGAGGGCGCCATCTTTAAAAAGAGTATGACTCTCTCCTCGCCGTCCTCGTTGTACTGAGATACGCACAGGCTGTCGGACACTTCCTCGAAAGCCTCGACTGTTGGGGGTAAGACAAAGTCCAATGAGAGATCGACAGGCTTCAATATCATGACTGTCAAACTGTCAAGTAATCGCGATTAATTGAATTAATTGTCTGACACATGGCCGGGCCGCTGACCTGACCAAACAAATGTTGGCAGTCGAGATATTGAGGTATTTTAAGCTTGAGTTGCTGCAGTAAATAAAAAACGTCCCCGCAATATGTGTAAATTACAACATGTGTTTTGACTGTGTGCGACTCCAAGTTTGTGGACTGGTATCAGTCTATAGGTCATGTGGTGCCGGGTCACATCGAAAAATTTATCTAAAGATAATCTGGAGATTTTTCAAAATAATACGTCTATATTACTACCTGAATACATCTTAAAAGGTGTTTTATTTTGAAAGTTTACAGACCCTTAGCAACTGTTTAACCATCCTTCAATGATAGGAGGTTGGGGACTGCTGTATCTGATGGTCGGATTATTATCGGATATACGGCGGTCATGTATCGGGGCACGTGTCGAAATTACTTAAAAAGTCATTTTTCTGATCGGATTTTGTGTTATGATTGACAGTCCTGATAAAAACGTTAAAACAAAACAAGAGAAAGAAAAACGGAAACGTGAGTTCAAAGTAAAAAAAACATCAGCTCCAGTCACCGATGTTGTAGATCTCTGAGCTGCCAAAGCGAACTCCGTTGGGGTTTAACGTTCCGTCACTGCAGAACAAACACATGAGCAGCAGTGTGTGAGTGTAATGTTTACACAGATATAATATTTAACCCAGTCATTGAACACACCACAGTATGAACGCTACAACAACAGATGGACCGAGTCGGAGTGTTGTTTGTTAGTACATTTGTTATTTTATGACCTTTGACCTGGATGTCGACTCTTAAAGTTGAGGCTGAATTTTAAGAATATGAAAACATACATTTTTGTACCACTAATTATTATTAATTATGTACATATTGTGTACTACGTATTCCTATTCTACGTACTTCAAAAAAGACAATATTTCACTCTCTTCAAATACTATCATTTTAAATCCGGCTGACCACAGGGAGATTCTCCACGAAAAACGCATTGATATGTAATTAACTAATTATCTGGATAATTAATCAAAGTGTTAGCATGGTCATTAAACTTGCCTCGCCCTACTTTAAACTCATCCAGGCATTGTGTGGTTTTTATTTTTAGAGCTTATTCATCAATTTCTTTGCAGATGACTGTATTTTTTCTGGTCAAAATTGCATTTAAAAAAATGGTCTTTTTTAAAAAATATTTCCTTTTCTTTTAACAAAAATAAACTGGAAAAATAAACGTGCTATATTATTAATATTTACAGTTGAAATGTACATTTGAATTTTATTGTGTACAGATAAAAAAACAAACAAACAAACAAAAAACACTTTTGACTCAAAGCCTTGATATTTCTGACCTTCTGCCCAACATGACGACGCCCCCGGTCTTTGGGTTGATTTTACAGTAGTCTCCATGAGCCCATACACCTTGACAGAAGAAAGAGGGAAGAAACAGCAGTAGATTAGAAAATAGTCAAAAAAATTAAATACACACTTTAGACCATTGTTTCCCAAAGACTGGTTCGCGACCCTCAGGTGGGTCGCAAGAGATTCTTTTTGGGACGTCTCGCATCATTTTTCCCAGGAGTTTATGAATAATGTCTATTGACTTGGGTCGCGAAGGTTTGTGACTTTTAAAATATGGGTCCCCAGAAAAAAAGTTTGGAAAACACTGCCTTAGGCCATTTGTTCGCAGTTTTTCTTTTGTAAATTTGTGCCATATTTTTCTATCGATTCCAAATTATTATTATTATTATTATCGTCATGGCGACCTTCTTAAAACACAGAATATTCTCCACAGTTACCTTGGGGGGTATTAAATACTTAAAAAAAGCATAATTTTTTTTAATTTATTTTGTGGTCTGTATTGTCGGGGGTATGTAATGTTTTACATTGTATGAGTACCGTTTGTGTACCTACCAGGGTATGAAGAGAAGTACGCTTTGTGGTATTTGCTTCCGTTCTTATGGCAGACTCCCCGCTCTCCCCCCACACAGGCTTACCTGTCCACGGACACGAGAAGAGACAAAAAATCTGGGATTAGACTCTTACACGTGAAGAGATGACCACACAAAGAAAATAAAAAAAATCACATATTTTTAAACCACTCCAATTTAATTCACATAAATATTTAACAAAAAACAAAAGTATCCTCCATCGTCTGATGTTTTCTCAGACTCTAACCGTTTGACTGGACCACATCGCTGTACCTAAACAGTTAATTACTGCCATTTTTATTTGTTAAATTGCCCAGAAAATGAGCAAAACTCCTGGAAAAACACAGGTTTGTACTTAAAGAACATGATGAGAAAACGCAGCAGAAAATAGAAGCGTTCCATTATACACAACAAAAAAACTGCTCTTTTCACAATTTACACCGCAAACTGGGTCACCTCAGTTTGTCATGTAAAAAAGTGGGTCCGTATTTGAAAAAAATAAAAATAAATTAAAAATTAAAAATAAAAAACTCCAGGCCGTGCTGCCTTAAAGGACACGCTGCTTTGTCATTGTTCACCATGGAGGGCGACTTGATTACAAAAGACATTTTAAGATGACCTAACGTCAACAGTATGAGTCGCCCCCTGGTGGCCATTCTCATGAATTAATATTTTTGTTGTTGCTATGCTAAGGTAAAAACCTAAAATAAAATGTTTAATTAACAAAAATATATATACTATATATATATATATATATATATATATTATTATAAGGTAGTAAACTTATTTACCAGGGAGTGAGAGACAAGAGCTGGGGGTGTGGAGGTCAATGACTGGACTGAGGGTATGATGGGATTTTTTTTTTAAACTTTCTGTTCAGAGCACCAACACACAAAGCCACGCACACATTCACACATGCGTTGGATCTTACCGTCGAGGCTCCAGGCCTCCATGGCCATGCCCAGGTTCCTGGTTTGGATCTCACCCTTGTACACTGGAACTGTCGGGTTTTGACCCATGAAACATGACCTGATATCAGTACCACTTGAAGAAAGAGAACAAGATTCAACAATATGGTTAGTTAGCTAAACAACTAAAAATACACGTACATGTATAGTATATATACATACATATACACACATATATATTAATTATGATTTCATATATAGATATATACACATATAGATACACATATATACACACATAGTGTATATACATATACATATATACACATACATATATACATACATATACACATACCTACATACATATATACATACGTCTCAACATATATCTATACATACATATATACATACATATATATATACATACATATATATACATACATACATACATACATTTTCTGTGTTTATATTTATATATATATATTTCAACCACATCTTAGCTTCTGCCTTCAAACCCTCCACGAAGTCTGTTCATGTCCCAGAGTTCTTCCAAAGGGGCCTCAGTGAGGACAAGACCGCTGACAGGAGACCAGACGTCACCTGCCAGCTCCTAATACCAACGGACACCTTCTGTCCAAGTCAGGACATGTGACAACACAGCAGGGAATTCCAGATAAACTGCAGAGTGCAAATGGGCGCGTGTTCTGTCTCCTGCACACTGGAGGAAGGCTCCACCCTTCAACCTGGACTTTCTGGACCCTGTCCTGCGATGGGAAAGTCTGTGACAACCTCCTGCCGTGAACCTCAGACCCTAGCGCATTTGGTAATGTCGGGAGAAGTTCTGGAGCAACTGTCCGGAACGTTCATTTTCTAGAGTTGTCACGTTTCACGTTAATGTCGTAAATGTGAAAACCACTAGCCTTCATAGCATATTTTTGAAGACTCGCCTATTGAAGTGTAGATGTTGGTACCAGGTATCGGTGAGTACACAAATAGAAATACGTGTACTTATTGGATACGTATTGCTTTGTGTAGAAAATGGTACTACTGTACTAATTCCTTGGAGTACTCCCCACCTTGTTTGACTTTGTGATCCGTGACCACACTTTGGCCATAATTCGACCCATATCTAATGCACACAAAAAAAAATTAAGATGACCTAACATCAACCGTATGAGTCACCCCCTGCTGGTCATTGATGTGAATTACATCTAGTTGCCTAATGGTACTCTTCAACCCTGATGTATGTGACAACCAAGAAAAATTCTTCTTCAGGTCAATTTAGCCACAGTTAACTGTTGACGTGATTAATCACGATTAATTGCGATTAATCGGAATATAATATTGTTCTCATTTAAGTGGCATATTTAACACGGAGATACCAAATATTGTCTACATTACCAATCAAATTAGCAACAAGTTTGTCAACCTGAACAGACAGCAGGGGGCAGCAGCCTTTTCCACCTCCACTGACCTACATAAGAGTTTAACTCTGCAGCACTGCGTTCCTTAAACTCTCTCCTTTTCTATCTCCTTCTCCAACACACACACACACACAAACCCTTTGCCACAACACCCATTTGTCTCCCTCTTCCTTTCAATCATTTGCCATTTCTGATGCGTTCGATTCATTTTTCTCCCCCCATTGTTCCGTCTCCATTTCCTCGTTTCACTCCCTCTCCGTACCACAGACTCCATCCATTCATCTTGCTCGCTTCCTTTCAGCTGCTCTCTGCCCTTTCGCTATTCCTTCCCTCTCCTTCCCTCTGCTTGCTCTCCTCTTCCCATCTCCTTCCCTCCCTTTTCCTCTCTGCCCTTCTTCTCTGCCAAGCTCTTTATTGAGCGCTAATTGGCTCCCAGGAGGAAGAGAAAACAGTCTTCTAATTAAACGCACACACATCTATAGCGGGAAGACACGCTATTATTTTATTATTGCGCCGACTTCATGGGTTGACAAACACACAGTTACACACAGATACACACACACTTGCATTTGAAGCTAAAAAAGCCACTGTTGTCCTTTGGAGCAGGTACAGTGTGTATTTGTGCTAAAAAAGCCACTGTTGTCCTTTGGAGGAGGTAGGAGGTACAGTGTGTATTTGTATGCAGGCACAGTGGAGGGTAACTTATTAAAGCCGTCTTGTTTCTAAGTAAGAAGTTACAAAGAAACATTTTTAAAAAAGACTATTTTAGGTAAACATATATTTGAGTTGTTGTTCTTGAGGCCTTGAAATATTAAAGCAGGTCGGTTTTCACCCCCGTTAAAGTGCATAGCCTGCCAAGCCGGATCACCTCCAACTGGGCCGGTACATCTCCGTCCAACCGGGACACCTCGGTCCGCATTTATGCTGGAAATCCTAGGTGTGAAAATATGTTAGTTAAAGGCTCCACCGCCAGGTTTTGTAGTACAATATGAGAATTTCAAAGAACGCGCACGTTTTTAGACAAGCTGGGGTTTGCCGAATAAATGTGGACCGAGGTGTTCTGGTTAGACTGGAGATGCATTGGCTAGCCCGAAGGTGGTCGGAGGTGGTCCAGCTTGGCTGGTGATGCACTTTAACGGAGGAGTGGTTTTGAAGTACTGTGAAGTTGAAGAGAGGTTGTGGTTCTGACCTGCTGTGGAGCCCGGGATTGAAACATGTCCTTCCCTGGTGGTGGGTTTGAAAATCACAGGCTGCTCTGACAGTCAGTGATGAGAGTTGTAACGAGTGGACGTGAGCAGAGATTGATGTTTGTTAAACAACGTTGCCATGACGGTCCAACCACCCCAAAATGAAGTAAAGTGAAGTTTTACAGATGACTGTGAAATTCTCTACCAGTGGACGAAACCAGTGGAGGTCGAAAATAAGGAGTTGTTTATCAACTAGTCCCTGGGTCCCTCGTCCTAATAATCATGAGACAAACTGCACCACCTTTAGTAAGTTACTGGACATTGACTAAAAGACAAAGATATGAAAAAGGGGTAAAATATGAAACTATCACAGGGCATTGATAAGACGCGTGGAGAGGAGAGGAGAGGAGAGGAGAGGAGAGGAGAGGAGAGGAGAGGAGGGGAGGCAACATATGTTGCGCTAAATCCTGAGAACACACACACACACTAACAACCAGAACAGAGTGTTAACCTCAGGGGTCAAGGTCAGGGTGGTTGGCAGCCGACGGGGTTGAAACCCGCAATTGCCCTCAGTGAGAAGGAGGAAACGAACAGGGTCAGCACATGCACATGCTGCTGTGAAAAAACTTACACATACCACTTTGACTCATTTATAATTCATTAAAGTAAAAACAGAAGTAAAAAAAAACGTTATATTTCAGATATATTTTTCATATATGACAGTAATTAAGTATGCCCTTCAACTTGACTCTTCACCACCCGTGACCACGGCGGTCATTGAACAACACAGTAGAGGAACCGGCAGCGTTCAGTCAGTCACCTGAGATGGTATGCAACGGTAGACGTAGTCGTAGCTCTGGGGTTTGAGGGAAGATCCAGTCGACAGGATGGTGTGAAGGGACTGCAGGTTGTGTGTTTCCACTAGAAGTGTAAAAAATATATATTTATAAATATAGAAATATATATATAAATATATACACACTATATATATACATATATACATATATACACATACACATATATACACATATATACATACACACACATATATACATACATACAGTACATAAGTACATGTAATGTACATACATACATATTTTCCCTAACAATGACATGTGTGCATGTGTGTGTGTCAGCTAATTCCCCGCTGTGATTTAAAAACTTATCCGGGACCGGGTCGCGTGGGGCAACAGTCTGAGCAGGGACACCAAGACTTCCCTTTCCCTCGACACTTCCTCCAGCTCTTCTGGGGGGACCCCAAGATGCTCCCAGGCCAGCCGAGTGACGTAGTCGCTCCAGGGTGTCCTAGGTCTTCCCCTAGGTCTCCTCCCAGAGGGACGGCACCCAAGCACCTCCCGAGGGAGGCATCCGGGGGGCATGCGATGACCATAGGTGAGGTTAGCAACGTAGATCGACCGGTAAATCGAGAGCTTCGCCTTTCGGCTCAGCTCCTTCTTCACCACAACGGACCGATACAGCGACCGCATTACTGTGGCCGCTGCACCGATCCGCCTATCAATCTCACGCTCCATCCTACCGTCACTCGTGAACAAGAAACAAAGATACTTAAACTCCTCCACCCGAGGCAGGACTTCCTCCCCAACCCGGAGGGTGCAAACCACCTTTTTCCGGTCGAGAACCATGGCCTCGGACTTAGAGGTGCTAATTCTCATCCCAGCGGCTTTACACTCGACTGCAAACCGCCCCAGTGCATGCTGCAGGTCCTGGTTCGAAGAGGCCAACAATACCACATCATCTGCAAAAAGCAGAGATGAAATCCGGTAGCTCCCGAACTGGACCCCACCCGACACCTGGCTGCGCCTAGAAATTCTGTCCATAAAGATGATGAACAGAACCGGTGACAAAGGGCAGCTCTGCCGTAGTCCAACATGCACCGGGAACAGGTCCGACTTATTGCTGGCAATGCAAACCAAGCTCCTACTCCGATCGTACAGGGACCGGACAGCCCTTAGAAGAGGGCCCCCAACCCCATACTCTCGGAGCACCCCCCACAGAATACCATGAGGGACACGGTCGAAAGCCTTTTCCAAGTCCACAAAACACATGTGGACCGGTTGGGCAAACTCCCATGAACCCTCAAGCACCCTGTGGAGGGTATAGAGCTGGCCCAGTGTTCCACGACCAGGACAAAAACCACATTGTTCCTCTTGAATCCGAGGTTCGACTATAGGCCGGATTCTCCTCTCCAGTACCCTGGAATAGACTTT